CGCGGTCCGTGAGTTCGAGCCCCGCGTCAGGCTCTGGGCTGATGGCTCAGAACCTGGAGCCTGTTTCCGATTCTGTGTCTCCCTCTCTCTCTGCCCCTCCCCCTGTTCGTGCTCTGTCTCTCTCTGTCCCAAAAATAAATAAACGTTGAAAAAAAAATTTTTTTAATAAAATAAAAAGAGATAGAACAACCAGACAGCTGATAATAAGGAAGTAAAGCAATTGAACAACACAAGAAACTAACTAGACCTAACAGACATAAACTAACACTCCACCCAAAACAGCAGAATATACATTCTTCTGAAGAGCACTTGGAAAATTCCTAAATAAATTAGGTCACAAACAAGTCCTGATAGATTCTTTAAAAAATTTTTTTAATGTTTACTCATTTTGAGAAAGAGAGAGAGCACGAGCAGGGGAGGGGCAGAGAGAGAGAGAGAGGAACAGAGGATCCCATGCAGGCTCCACAGTATCAACACAGCCTGACATAAGGCTCAAACCCACGAACTATGAGATCCTGACCTGAGCCAAAGTCAGAAGCTCAATCAACTGAGCCACCCAGGCATCTGCCTAATTGATCTTTTAAAATAGATATCATATAATGTATTTTTGCTTACAATAAGAAGATGAGGGGTACCTGGGTGGCTCAGTTGGTTAAGAGTCCGACTTCGGCTCAGGTCATGATCTCGCAGTTTGTGGGTTCAAGCCCTGCATCCGGCTCTGTGCTGACAGCTCAGAGCCGGGAGCCTGCTTCGGATTCTGTGTCTCCCTCTCTCTCTGCCCCTCCCCGCTCATACTCTGTCTCTGTCTCTCTCTCTCTCAAAAATAAATAGACACTGAAAAGAAATAAAAAAAAAAGAAGATGAAGTTAGAAATCAATGACAGAAGGAAAAGAGAAAAATTCACATACATGTGGAGATTAAACAACACACTCTTCAACAACAAATAGGTGAGAAAATCATGAGGGAATAACAAGTACTTGAGTCAAATAAAAAAGAAAACACAACATATCCAAACTTATGGGATACCACAAAAGCAGTTCTCAAGGGAAATTTACAGTTGTGAATACCTACATTAAAAAGGAAGAAAGATCGGATGCCTGGGTAACTCAGTCGGTTAAGCATCTGACTGCACCTCAGGTTATGATTTTATGGTTCATGAGTTCGAGCCCTGCTTCAAATGAGCATGAGCCCCACTTCTCTCTCTCTCCCTCTCCATCTCTCTCTCTCTTTCTGCCACTAGTGGGATTATCTTCCTCTCTTTTCCTATCTCTCTCTGCCCTTTGTTCACTTGTGCTCTCTCTCTCAAAAAAAAAAAAAAAAGGAAGAAAGATCTCAAATTGATAACCTAACTTCTCCAAATCAAGGAACTAGAAAAAGAGGAGCAAACTAAATCCAAAACTAATAGAAGCTAATAGTGACATAATTAAGATTAGAATGAGTTTAAAATAGAGAATAGGAAAATAATAGAGAAAAACGATGAAACCAAAAGTTAGTTCTTTGAAAAGATCAGCAAAACTGACAGCTTTAGAGTGAGAAGAAAGAGGCAAAAAACTAAAAATATTAAACTGGGGACATTACTACCAATCTTACAGAGATAAAAAAATATATAAGTATGTATCTGTAAAAAATTGTATGTCAACAGATTATATAATTCAGAATAAATGGACAAATTCCTTGAAACACACAGTTAGCTATCCTGACTCAAAGAAAATCCCAAAAGACCTATTATAAGTAAAGAGGTTTAATTAATAATTTAAAACCTCCCAAATTTCACAATGAGTGAAATCGTATGGTGTTTGTCTTTCTCTGATTTTTTTGCTTAGCATTATACTCTCTAGCTCCATCCATGCCGTTGCAAATGGCAAGATTTCATTCTTTTTTATGGCTGAGTATTATTTCTTTGTATATATATTCTACATCTTCTTTATCCATTCATCGGTCCATGGACACTTGGGCTATTTCCATAGTTTGGTTATTGTAGATAACGCTGCTATGAACATCAGGGTGCACATATCCCTTTGAATTAGTATTTTTGTATTCTTTGGGTAAGTATCGAGTAGTACAATTAATGGATCATAGGGTAGTTCTATTTTTAACATTTTGAGGAACTTCCATACTGTTTTCCAGAGTGGCTGCACTAGTTTGCATTCCCACCAACAGTATAAGAGGGTTCCCCTTTTTTTTTAATTTTTTTTTCAACGTTTATTTATTTTTGGGACAGAGAGAGACAGAGCATGAACGGGGGAGGGGCAGAGAGAGAGGGAGACACAGAATCGGAAACAGGCTCCAGGCTCCGAGCCATCAGCCCAGAGCCCGACGCGGGGCTCGAACTCACGGACCGCGAGATCGTGACCTGGCTGAAGTCGGATGCTTAACCGACTGCGCCACCCAGGCGCCCCAAGAGGGTTCCCCTTTTTGCACATACTCCCAACACCTGTTGTTTTTTGTGTTAACTGTAGCTATTCTGACAAGTGTAGGATGATATCTCATTGTAGTTTTATTTTCTAATGTTTATTTTATTTTGAGAGTGGGGGAGCATGAGTAGAGGAAGGTGAGAGAGAGAGAGAGAGAGAGAGAGAGAGAGCGAAAGAGAGAGAGAGAGAGAAAGAGAATCCCAAGCAGGCTCTGTGCTGACAGCACAGATGCGGGACTTGATCCCACAAACCATGAGATCATGACCTGAGCAGAAATCAATGATCAGTCACTTAATGACTGAGCCACCCAGGTGCCCCTGATTGTAGTTTTAATTTGTATTTCCCTGGTGATGAGTAATGTTGAGCATCTTTTCATGGGTCTGTTGGACGTATGGATATCCTCTTTGGAAAAATGTCTATTCGTGTCTTCTGCCCACTCAACTTTTTAATTGAGTTATTTGATTTTTGGTTGTTGAGTTTTATAAGTTTTTTAAACATATATTTAGGATACTAACCCTTTATCAGATATGTCATTTGCAACTATCTTCTCCTATTCCGTGGGTTGTCTTTTAGTTTTGTTGATTGTTTCCTTCACTATGAAGAAACTTTTTATTGTGATAAAGTTCCAATATTTTTGCTTTTGTTTCCCTTGTCTCAGGAGACCTATCTGGTAAAAAGTTGCTATGGCTGATGTCAAAGAAGTTACTGTCTGTATTCTCCTCTAGGATTTTGATGGTTTCCTGTCTCACAATTAAATCTTTAGGCCATTTTGAATATATTTTTCTGTATGGTATAAGAAAGTGGTCTAGTTTCATTCTTTGGAATGTTGCTGTCCAGTTTTACCAATACTATTTGTTGAAGAGACTGTCTTTTTTCCTTTGAACATTCTCTTCTGCTTTGTTGAAGATTAATTGACCATGTAGTTGTGGGTTCATTGCTGTGTTTTCTAGTCTCTTCCATTGATCTCTGTGTCTACTTTTGTGCTAGTACCATACCGTCTTGGTCACTACAGCTTTGTAATATAACTTGAAGTCTAGAATTGTGATGCCTCCAGATTTTCTTTTCTTTCCTTTCTTTTCTTTTTTTTAGTTTCAGGTGTAGAATTTAGTGATTCAGCACTTACATACAACACCCAGTGCTCATCACATATGCCCTCCCTAATCCCCATCACTCATTTAACCCATCCCCTCACTCACCTTCCCTCCCAGGATTATCATTTTGTTCTCTTATAGTTAAGAGTGTTTTATGGTTTGCCTCTCTCTTCCTCCCTGCCCAT